TGCCAAGCTGCCCCTGAGACACAGTGACATTGCTGCTGCCCTCAGCTCGCTGCTGGAAGCTCCTCTGCAGGCTGAGAACTACCAGCAGAAGTTCCAGCTGCTGCTGCACCTGGAGGAGATTCAGATGGAGGTGGACATCCGACGCTATGACATGCAGGATGTGACCATGGTGCAGGAGAGGGCTCTGCTGGTTCTCAATGTGCGTAGGGGGCTGCGGGATGGGAGGGGTGCTGGCACAACACTGGCACTCCCAGAGTGCCTGGCATCACACAGGCCCTTTGGCACAGGTGCCTGGCGTGGCCGAGAACCGCCCGTCCCTGCTGAGAGGGGACCACCTCTTTGCCCACCTGAGCAGCGAGCGGGACCACTCCCCGCTCATCCGGTACAAGGGTTACGTGCACAGCGTGGAACTGGAGAGGGTCAGGCTGGGCTTCTCCTCCAAGTGAGTGATGTCTGGTCCCAGCAGCCTTTCTCACAGATGCCAAAGGCCAGGAGTGGGTTGGAAAGGGCTAGGAGGGCATGAGAGAGTGCCCCGTGCCATGCTGACACCATTCCTTCCCAGGCTGCAGAAGAAGTTTGTGAAAAACCTGAAGTTCGATGTGACCTTCACCTTCAACCGGCTGCCACTGCAGGTGCAGCACCGGGCTGCAGTCCTGGCCGTGCGCCGTGGCTTGTTCAGCCTCCTCTTCCCCTCCGCCTCCTGCCACAAGTCCCTCTTCTCGGGCCCCTTCCAGCCCCGGTGAGCGCCCAGCTCTGCAGGGTGGGAGGGCCTGGGGTCAGGCGATGGAGGCGATGGAGGTGATGGGGGCGATGGAGGCGATGGGGGCGATGGGGGCGATGGGGACGATGGAGGCGATGGGGGCGATGGGGGCGATGGGGGCGATGGGGGCAATGGAGGCGATGGGGGCAATGGGGGCGATGGGGGCGATGGGGGCGATGGGGGTGATGGGGGCGATGGGGGTGATGGAGGCGATGGGGGTGATGGGGGTGATGGAGGCGATGGGGGTGATGGGGGTGATGGAGGCGATGGGGGTGATGGGGGCGATGGGGGTGATGGGGGTGATGGGGGCGATGGGGGCGATGGGGGCGATGGGGCTCCGGCAGCGCAGCCTCTGCTCCCACAGGTGGTTTAACCGCAAGCTGGAGACCAATGAGGAGCAGTGCAGAGCTGTGACTCACATCGTGACGGGGGTGTCCCGGCCAGCCCCATACCTCATCTTTGGACCCCCTGGCACTGGCAAGACGGTCACTATGGTGGAGGCCATCAAGCAGGTGAGTGGCCGGTGCCCAAATCCAGCCCTGAGCATTGCTGCCCCTTCTCATCTGTGGGGCTCAATGCTGTCATCTCCTCCTCCCACCCAGGTGTGGACATGCTTCAGGGATGCCCGTATCTTGGCCTGTGCCCCCTCCAACAGTGCTGCAGACCTGCTGTGCCAGTGCCTCATCAAGGACATTGCCCCTCGGAATGTCTACAGGCTCATTGCGAGCTCCAGGAACTACAGGGAAGTGCCCACTGATATCATGGTAGGTCCCTGCCCCTCCACCCTGAAATCCTGACAGCACATCTGGGCTGGTGTCCCCCAGGATGATGGGACCTCACCCAGTGCCTGCACTCCAGCCCTGCTGCAACTGGGACGATGAGCAGAGCAGCTACGTGTACCCAAGCAAGGAGAACCTGAGGCCCTACCGGATTATCATCACCACACTGGTGACAGCAGGAAGGTCAGAGGAGCTGGGATTGTCCCCAGCATCTGTGGCAGGTGGACCCAGGGCTGCCTTACAGCCAGGCTGTGAAGGCAGTCCCTCTGGGATTCAGCAGGGAGGGGCTGGAGGAGGGCAGGCAGCAGAGGGGGCAAATCCCTCCTCTGTGGGAGGAGGAGGATGAAGGGTAGGAGAGGAAGGGTGGCCAGGTGGGGCAGGATGCTGAGAACAGACTCATTCCATCTCTCCTCCAGGCTGGTGTCAGCCAACTTCCCCCCTGGGTTTTTCTCCCACGTCTTCATCGACGAGTGTGGCCATGCGGTAGAGCCGGAGAGCGTGGTCGCCATCGCGGGTGAGTGGTGCCCGGCTGCTGCCTCAAGGACCAGCATCTCTGCGTGGCCTGGGGTCCCTCCCATTCCCCACTGAGCTCTCCCTGTTCCCAGGGCTCCTGGCTCCCATGGATGAGGAGACCAACCCCAACGGGGGGCAGCTGGTGCTGGCAGGAGACCCCAAGCAGCTGGGCCCTGTCCTGACCTCACCACTGGCCATCCAGTATGGGCTGGGTGAGTAGGGAGAGGAGTGGGAGTGCTGCAGGGAGCCCCACAGGGGCTCAGTGGCCTTGTGGGGAGCCACAGGATATCACTGGGCACAGGCACCTCGCTGCTGGAGAGGCTGATGCTGCACAACCCCTTGTACAAGAAGTCGAGTGGAGGATACAACCCACAGTTCATCACCAAACTGCTCTGGAACTACAGGTGAGGACAGGGATAGTGCAGGAAGGGGTTGAGCCAGGCAGGGATTGGAGAGCATGGCGCTCCAGGATCTGTCCCCCAGAGCCTCGTGGTGCCCCAGCTGGTGTGGGAGATGGGAGTGCACCCACATGGCACCCACCCTGGGCATGGTCCTGCCTCTCCCAGGTCCCACGAGGCCATTCTCAGGATCCCCAACGAGCTCTTCTATGACAACGAGCTGAAGGTGTGCAAGAGTAATGGGCTTGACATCCGGAATGTGTATTGTACCTGGGAGGAGCTTCCCAAAAAAGTGAGTGGCGCAGGAGGGACTGACCCAAGGGGTTCCCTGAGGCACAGGCAGAGCATTGCCAAATGTTCTCCATCCCCAGGGCTTCCCCATCATCTTCCATGGGGTTTGTGGGGAAGACCAGAGAGAAGCCAAGAGTCCCTCATTCTTCAACACGGCCGAAATCGAGGTGCTGGTCCACTACCTCAAGAAGCTGCTGCAGAGCCGGGGCAAGGGAGGCTGCCCCGCGGTGTCCCCCAAGGAGATCGGCATCATCTCTCCCTACAGGAAGCAGGTGAGGGACACAGCTCTGCAGGAAGAGCACAGGCAAGGGACAGGGAACACTGTGATGGATGGGCAGCCCCAGGGCTGGCACAAGGATGGACCTGTGGTGGCTGAATTTTGCCACATGCCTCCGCTCAGGTAGAGAAGATCCGGAAAGCCATCACCTCCCTGGATCCCCATCTGCAGAAGCTGCCGGACATCAGCCAGTTGAAGGTATGTCCTGGGCATGGAGGAGAGAGGGGCACAGGAGGAAGGAGCCCTGACAGCCCCAGCCCAGGGGTGCTTCTGGCCCCTGACCTGTTGTCCCTGCCCCAGGTGGGCTCTGTGGAAGAGTTCCAGGGCCAGGAGCGGCTTGTGATCCTCATCTCCACCGTGCGCAGCTGCAGCACGTACCTCCAGTTTGACCAGACCTTCAGGCTAGGCTTCCTCAAGAACCCCAAGGTATCGCCTAGCGCCGAGCAGACCCTTCCTCCTTGGCATCCCCTTCTTCCCTCTGGTTCTCACAGGCAGGTAGAGCTGCCCTGGGTGCTCAGTGCCACACCAGAGCTGCCTGCGCCCACATGGGGCTGCGAGACGATGAGAGGTGTTGCAGCCAAGTAAAGCCCTCTTGCTTGTCCTCTTCAGAGGCTTAACGTGGCCATCACCAGGGCCAAGGCTCTGTTGATCGTGGTGGGTAACCCGACCGTGCTCAGCAAGGACCAGCACTGGTGCAGGTGAGCTGCTGCTGGCCACAGGCAGTGCTCCCACTCCTGCCCTTCCTGCTGCCAGCCCCTGGTCCCTGCCCATGCCCACAGAGCAGCGAGGCCGGTGCCACCTTGTGCCCACGCTGCCCTCCCGCTGCACCTGCAGGTTCCTCAGGTACTGCAAGGAACAGGGCGGCTACACCGGGTACCCCTACGAGGATGAGGGCACGGCTGAGGACAGGCTCGCCAACGAGCTCCAGACGCTGCAGCTCAGTGCTTAGCACGCAGGTGAGCAGAGCTGGGCCCCGACAGCAGCAGGGTGCCAGGGTTACATGCCAGCACCCTGGGGCAGCAGCATGGCCAGGGTTACAGCTGGGCACTGGGAGGCTGCTCCTGTCCCAAATGCAACAGGTTTTTGCTTAGGGCTTGCATGTCTCCATCTCGAAGTCAGGAGCCAGCTCTGCCACGAGGTTTCTCTGCAGAAAATGCACCTGGGAAGGGAGGAGAAGCCCCACGAAGCTGCATCCCCCTCAGCCTGCCCCAAGCCTGCAGCAGCTCCTGCTTTTTCTGTCTCAGTCCCTGTGGAGATGCTGCTGAACCCACTAGAACAGACAGTGTTGCCAACTTTTGCTGCCAGCCACTAATCCCTCACCAGCATCAGACTGGCACAATCTCCATTTTAATAAATTTTTTACATGGTTGTGGCAAAACAATTTTTTGTGATTGATCTCACCATTCAGTGAAAGGCTTAAGCCTGGAGACTCTGGCCTCCAAAGAGCTTCACTGGGTGCACAGGAGAGCTCACTGCTGCTGTGATGGGAAACTGGGCAATGCAGGTACCTGGTCTGGGACAGGCTGGCTCAGCTCTCCACCGGGCAGCTGCCTGGCCTGAGAGCTGGCACGGCTGTACAGGCACTCTATTTCCCTCAAATAAATGTTTAAAGGAAAGCACTGTACTGTCGAGTCCTAGGTGGGCCTTGCTTACACAAACAGGGCTTTAGAGCAGCATCAGGCTTACTGCAGCCCTGCCCTGACTTGCTCCAGAGGCAGGATGGCTCCAGCAGCGATGCCAGTGCCCATCAGCCAGGGACTGGGTACAGCTGGGAAGCTCCTGCCTGGCCCTTCCCACGTAAACTGCTCCCTGGCTGTTTTGCAAGTACAGGGTGGTGAGCCCTGATCCTCCAGCAGCAGCTAAAGCAGCAGGGCTGGGGCCAGGCAAGTCCTCACCCTGCAGCACAAGGCCCGGAGCCCAGGCAGGAGCCTGGAGCAGTGAGAGGCATAAAGGAGAGCCAGAAGAACACCACACAAGCCAAGTTACAATTACTAAAATACCAGTTTGCATTTATTCTCCCGATTAATGCAGTTGGGTTTACTGCTGCCAAGTCCGTGACCGAGGCAGACTGGAAGGCGGCGATACCAGCAGAGCCGGGCGCGCGTCCCAGAGGGGAGGTGCTGGCACGGCTGAGCCCAGCTCTGCCCAGACAGGGCCAGAACTGCCCGGGCCAGTCTGGAACGCTGCTGTGTGCTGCTCCACGGCCACGGAGAGCAGGCACAACACACCGAGGGCCTGGCACACCCCACATGTCAGCTGTGACTGGCACCTCCTGCTTCTGTGGCACCTGCCCAGAGCTGGGGAAAGAGAGTGAGCACTGCAGCAATGCCCATGGGAAAGGCAAAACCAGGGAGCTCAGTACAAAACGGGGTGACACGGGGAGCAACAGCAGCACCCCGCCCGTGGAGAGCAGCAGGCACTGAAGGCACTGGCCCCTCGTGGCCCTGGAATGCCGCAGGGACACCGTGTGAGCGTGGGTGGCAGCTCTGGTGCAAAGGCTCGGGGCAGGCAGTGGCAGCAGAGGTGCTGCTTGGGCTGCCTGCCAGCAGTCCCTCCCCGGGCAGGCGGTGCAGCGGGGCTGCTCACAGCAGCGGGCAGCCTCTGCGCTTCTTGTTCTTGCGGACCTGCAGGCCAGCACGGGTGGCCATCTCGAACACCTCCCGCACCCCCTCCTTCGTCTTGGCTGAGCACTCCAGGTAGCCAAAGGCGTTGATCCTGTTGGCCATGTCCCTCCCCTCCTCTGGCTTCACTGGCTCCTAGGAAGCAGTAAAAACAGGGTTTGGAAACATTGCCAGAACACAGCAGCAGCTGCCCTTGGGGCACCCAGCCCTTCCAGCCAGGATCTGGTACGGGCAGAAGTGGCTGTCCCCACCTGCTTCATCTTGGCCAGCTCCCGCCGCGTGTGCTCATCGTTCCGCAGGTCCTTCTTGTTCCCCACCAGGATGATGGGCACGTTGGGGCAGAAGTGCTTCACCTCTGGTGTCCACTTCTCAGGGATGTTCTCTACAACCAGCACACATGGAATCCTATGAGCTGAGGGGATGCTGCCCCACAGCTTCCTCACAGAATCCAGCCCCAAGCTTTCCCCGCTGGAGCAGGGAGAGCTTCCCCCTCTCCCACCACCTCCGCCCAGCCAACAAGTGGCCAGCACTGCCCTGACGTGCACACAAGGCCGGGGCACGAAGGGAAGGCTCTGGCGTCCTTGAGGGGCAGCACGAGGGCTCCCCAGACCTTCCCAGACAGGGGTTCAGTAGCAGCACCGAGCCCTGGGGGACCCCCCGTCCCTACCGAGGCTATCCGGGCTGTCGATGGAAAAGCACATGAGGATTACATCTGTGTCCGGGTACGAGAGGGGCCGCAGCCTGTCATAGTCCTCCTGTCCTGCCGTGTCCCACAGGGCCAGCTCAACCTGACAGGGGAGAAGGGCACGGTTTAAGCCAGGAGTGATAGACTTATCTTCCTCAGGTATAGCTCTGCTCTTCCTCAAACTCAAGCTCAGGGTGACCCAGAAACGCTGGAGCCATGGGCTCCTCTGTGCTCTGCAGGTGCATCCGAGCACACAGAGCAGTCCCAGCAACTGCACTGGCACTGCCAGCACGGGACATGGAGCGAGGGGACGGGAATGGCCTTACCTGCTTCCCATCCACCTCTATGTCAGCAATGTAGTTCTCAAACACAGTTGGCACGTAGACCTCGGGGAACTGGTCTTTGCTGAACACGATCAGCAGACACGTCTTTCCGCAGGCACCATCTCCCACAATCACCAGCTTCTTCCTGATGGCTGCCATCGCTGCAGGGACACCAGCAGGTGAGCAGGACAGAGCAGCACGGGCAGTTCATGTTCCCGGCCCCCCAAATTCCTGTGCACAGCAGCCTGGGCGATCCCAGACACAAGCACCTGGGCACATCCCACTGTGAGAAGCCACTGACAGGACAGAAGTTCGCCCAACCCTCTGCCAGACCCCTCCAGCTCCCACACACCTCAGCTCAAGGCCACCACAAGAACCGGCCTGGCCGGAGCCATTTACACCTAGCAGTGCTGCTGGGGCTGGGAGAACCATCCCAGCTGTGGTCAGTGCTCGTGGCTGCACACAGGGACCTTATGGGAGCTGAAAAACCACTCTGCCTTCCCCAGACATCCAACCCTCCCTGGTTTTGCTGTGCTACCACCCAGGTCCCCAGAATTTTAGACAGAGTTCCATGCACATGCTGTGTTTATTTTAAATGATAAATTCTTCAGGGCAGAAACTGTGCTTTGGATTTCACCCCAGCATGCTCACCAGACCCCAAATAATCTGATCAGCAGCTGGAACACACCAGCCCAAGCTCTTGGAGGTCTGGGCAAGCAGGACCTGTGTGCCTGACACCCACCACTGCGCTGGCCCCATCCCAGCCTGTCTGAAAAAGGAGCCCTTGCCATTGCCAAAAAGGAACCAAGAGAACCGACGCTGGCACTGGCAGTGGGAGCAGCTGCCAGTCATCACTCAGCAAACAGAGCTGAAACCCCAGGACAAAGCAGGTGGCTTTCTGCCCCACGGGAAAAGGATGCAGTTCTGCAAGGAAAACTATGCATCCCTCACTTTCAAAAGGGGTTTACAGCTGAGCCTGGGAACCGGCCAGGACAATGCCACAAAATGCCTGGCACAGCATCTGAATGAGGCATGAGAAAATCAGCCACAGTGGGATCACATCCCTCCCCGACCTTGTGACCAAAATCTCTTTTCCATCCCCAGATCCCCAGTCCAAAGAGCCTGTCCTACCCTGTACGTGCCTTCAGCACATCACCAGCCCCCTGTCCCTGCAGAGATCCTGGGAATGACGCACGTTGGCATGTCAGGGTTTAATCCCTGAAAATTCACACTGCTCTGGGGAAAATTACGGGTGACCAAGAAACCTCTCCTGAAGGCAGGGATGTTCCATGCTTTCTCCCTCAGCCCCATCCCTCTCCAAACCCTCTGCCCGGGCAGCAGGGTGGGAAGGAGCCATTGATGCTGGGAGCCTGGGGAAGGGTCACAGGAAATAACCCTGTGGGAAGGACACACACATCAGTGTTGATGCACTGGGCTGCAAGCACTGGGAGTGGATCATGCTGGGATCACTCCAGGATCACTGGGATCACCTTGGGAAGGCCAGAATATCACAAGCCTGGCCTTTAACCAGGGCACTCATACTGAGCCTTAACAAAGGCCAGGAATCTGTCCCTGCCCAGTGATCCTACCCTCACCCTGTGCCAACAGGAAAGGGAGGAAAAGGGTAAAGCAGGAGTCTGGCTGCATCACAATTAGCTGCAAGTGAAGGATTAAGGAATGAGCCTGAATGGCTGACTCGAATTCCAAAGGCAGGCTGCAGACCTGCTTGTCTCATCGATGTGCCTGGCAGGTCACACAAACCCCGGGAACCACCCCAGCTTCACAAATCACACTGCCCAATGGTCTGGGCAAAAGAGGGAGAGTTTTCACCCATCTCCAGAACAGACCCTGCTGTAGCCATAGATCTTTGCAGGCTCCAAGCATTTCGGCTCACAAGCTGAGGCAGGAAGGGTTCATGGCTGCTGAGTGCTCTAGAGCTGTTAATAAAAATAGAAAGCTGGCACTTGTAAGGTGAGAAGAGTGAGAATCAAGGGCTGCATCTGGGAGATGGAATGTTCCTCAGCTGGGATCCTTGGTGTCAGGCACACATCCCAGTGGAGCAGAATGTCTACAGGAAGGTGAGCACATTTGTGCAACACTGAAGGCAGAGAAAAAAAAGAAAAAGGTGCTCCAAAGGGTCCCTTTTAGGAACCAGAGGCACTTTTTAGGGAGGCAAGTGCTGAGCATGGGGGGGAAACAGCTCCTGTCCCTATTCCTCATGCCCTGCTGCTCCTGCCTGCCCAGCTGGACCAGGCAAACCCACAGAATCATTAAGGCTGGAAAAGACCTCCAAGATGTACAAGTCCAAACCCTGCTGCAAGCCATCCTTCTCATCTGACCAAAGGCTCGTCCTCTCTCCAGCAGCATGTCCACAGCACAGAAAATGGAGCGCTCAGGGAGAAAAAAGCCTGTTTACTCAGACACAAAATTTCTCTGCCCACAGCAAAACATGATATGCTGCTTTGTGACTCCCTATCTCCAAGAGGAAAGGCAGTTTGGGCCGTGCCAGTATCTAACCCACACCACAGGCGGATGACAACATCTGCAGCCTAAAGCAGGAGATGCCCAAGGACACAAACAGCCGCTCCCAGAGGGACACCAGGGTCTGTCCATGCCCAGGCTGCAGGCACTGGACTGAAACCAGAACCAAGCAGAGTGGCACTGCTCCTGCCCGAATGCTGCCCCAATGTGAGCACGGTCCCCACGCCCAGAGCTCCTTCCCACGGCCTCCAACGCCCTCCCTGACCCGGGACGGCTCCGGGCCCCAGCAGCTCCCAGCCCGGCGTGATGCCGAGTGGTGACTCAGAGGGCAGAGGCACTGTCCCCACCCAAAATCTCAGCACAATTCATTCCATTACTCAGGAGAGCCATCCAGAAATAGCCCATTACTAATCCAGCGCTGGTGTGCAAAGCGAGCAGGGCAATGAGGCTGGAAGAGCTCTGAGCCTGAGGAGTCGGCTGGGTGCCCCAGTCCGTGCCCTGGACCCAGCAGCTGGCATGGCACCAACACCAGATGCCAGCAGCTCTCTGTTCCAGGAGAGATGAGCTTCTTTGCCAGGGGATGCTCTTTTTGCTCAGCAGGATGGGGCCAGACCCCAGGATGAGGATTCTGATGCAGAGATCTTTGCAATGTTGCCAGATTATGAGCAGATAAAAAGAGTGGAAAACATGAAGACAATTTGATGAAGACAAACAGGACGATTCCAAGTACAAATGCAGAAGAATTAAGTGGGAGCAGCCCTGAGAGGAAATACTTGGGGGTGCTGGTGGATGAGAAGCTCAACATGACAGCAGCATTCACTGGCAGCCCAGGAACACCCCCAGGGCTGATCCCCCAGCGTGGGCAGCAAGGAAGGGGGGAATTCTGCCCCTCTGCCCCACTCAGGTGAGACCCCACCTGCAGAGCTGCCTCCAGCCCTGGGGTCCCTGACACAGAGAGAACAGAGAGCTGCTGGAGCGAGTCCACGGAGTTGGAGCCCCTCTGCTCTGGAGCCAGCCTGGAGAGCTAGGGGTGCTCAGCCTGGAGAAGAGAAGGCTCTTGGGAGACCTCAGACTCCCTTCCGGAAGAAATTATTCCCTGAGAGGATGCTGAGGCCCTGGCACAGGCTGTCCAGAGAAGCTGTGGCTGCCCAATCTTTGGAAGTGCCCAAGGCCAGGTTGGATAAGGCTTGGAGCAGCCTGGGACAGTGGAAGGTGTCCCTGCCGTGGCTTTAAGGTCCCTGACATGAGCTTTAAGGTCCCTTCCAACCCAAACCATTTTGGGATTCTACGATAATCTGAGGACAGCTTCACTACAACTGCCATCAGGCCAAATGATTGAAAGCACACAGTCATCCATAACAGACATGGAAGCTGAGACTTTAAAGTCTGTGAAGTGCCAACCACCCCAAAACACAGCCAGCACTGCCCAGACCACGCTGGCAATCCAAACTGGCAGCTCTTGGGTGTGAGCAGCACTCAAAGGGCCGTGCTGGAAATGCCTCCTGCTCATCCATGGAGAAAACAAAAGGGAGCAGCAGCTGTGTGCCAGCATTTCCCAGTGCCCAACCCCACAGGGCTCCCGTGCCCATCCCTGCACCTGCTGCTGCAGGCAGGCTGGGCACACACAGGGATGGCTGTGGGTTTAATCTGTGCCACCACTGCCAGCACCGGCCAGATCCTGAGCAGGCATCTCCTTCAGCTCACAAAAAAGCTACCACATGACCCCAAATTGCTCTGTTCTACTTTCCAAGCAACTGTTCTAAAGCCATCACCATGAAATCAGCCAGGCTCCAGGGCAGCCCTTGAGTTTCTGGTCTCTCCCAGCTTTGTGCCTCAAACTGTGAAGCTCCTGTTAAGCAGGATACAGGGAATTCCTCTGGCAGCAGGATGTGTCCATCATCCAGTGTCTGCTATGGGGACTCGGGAATAGCAGAGAAAGATGTTAATGCTTTGAAGGACTCCAACCAGGGACAGAACTCTTTCAATGAACCTCCTAGGCCAGACTCGACTTCACAGAGGTAACAGAGGGGTTTTGTTTTAAAGCAGAAATTCCCAAGCACTGCTGACAGCCCCACCCTGGTCAGACCGGTCACGCCAGGGATCACAGCCCTGACCAGAGGCACAGCTCTCAATCTGGGCAGGGCTGGGGGGAAAGAGCTGTGCTGGGAGCAGCCCCTTGGCAGGGACACCCCCAACAGGGATATCCCCAGTGCCATGGAGCAGTTCCACTGCAGAAATTGTTTCAGCAGTTTGGACTCACTGGTACAATGATAAAGTAAGTAAACTTCCAAATTAAAGCCCTACAGGAATGCCCACTGTGGGTAATTTCATTTGCTGAGACACCTAAGCCATGGCCAAGGTAGTACAGGACAAGCGTCTCGGCCACTGCTGCAAACACCAGAGGGACTCTTACTACAGAAACATAGACTTATTAAGGTTGAAAGGCAGAAAAAGTTTCCAAAAAGGGCTGGAAGCAAACAGCGATGCTAAGGGGAAGGGCTCCTGGAGGATCGCAGCTCAAAACCATCCAAGTGGCACTGGCTTTGGCAAAGCAGGATCTGTAATTTCACACTCATCCACCCCCTGGGCTGGACGAGCGGCACCGTTTGTGCAGTGCAGAGCAGCCCTCAGCCCTCAGCCCTGGCCCAGGCCAACAGCCATCACTGCCACCCCGGGCTGACCCCTGCCCACCCACATCCCCCACTGCTCCCAGCCTCCCAGCCCGCCCGCCATCCCGCCTGCCTCTGCTGCCAAAACCACCCAGCTCCAAGGAAAATGTCTGTATTTACCACCGAGAGCTGACTGAAACCTTCCTCAGACCTCCAGACCGGCTATATCCGAACAAGTGATTGTCAAAATAGGAGCTCAACCCAGTGCTCAAGTTTAGACCTTACCCATTTTTTTGGAGACATTCTTTGGGCACAACCAGGCAGGCTGGGCTTAACACACACTCCAGTGGCAAAGGGCAACTGTCCAGACCCAGACCTGGAGCAGAGTGTCCAGGCTGGCTCGTTTTCATTGCTAAATCCCATAAAAAACATCCACAAGCAAAACAAGAGAAAGGAACTTGGAACAGAAGAATTTGAAAGCCTAAATAAAGCTCAAACCGCAAGTGTTTGAGCATTGAGGGAAAAGCTGCCTGCCCTTACCTCCTTTTCCAAAGGACATCATGCCATGTTCTTATTTTACCTCCTGCAGTAGTGACAGCCTTCCCAGCCTCACGGTAGCGCAAGTGTCTCGCTGAAAGCTCCAAATAACACGCCACAATCTCAGCAGATGCCTGTACTTGTGCAACACCTGCCTGCCTCAGCGCCGATCAATGTTTGCTAATACACTTCCTTACTTTTCATGTCAATACGCCTCTCCAGCGCAAACGGCAAGTTGGGAGGTGAGCCTGGTTAAACGCTCCCGATAACCTGTTGGAAGACAGTGACTTGGCTTATTTTCCACTTGTACATTTCCCCGGAGAAGCTGCAGCTGTCAGGAACCTGGATGCAAGTGAAAGTCCACAAAATCTCACGCAGTAGCTACCTGAGTTGAGGAGTTGAGGACATAAACTGAAACTGTTCGGACACCAAAAGCACTTGGCAAAATAGAAACAAAATGCAATTGGTTCCCATGACACACAAGCCAGCCAAACCACCACCTCCAGTCTCCAGGTTCCCCTGGAACACTTTCCCAGGGGTGCTGGCCTGGGGGGCTCAGCCAGGCCCCTGCTCCCAGCCCACCCAACACAGATGGAAGCCAGGGATCACACTCCCGTTCCCCTGGGGCGCTGAGAGGCTGGGGCTGGGTTTAGGGAGGTTGGCGGCCACGGAGAGACTTGGCTGCCAGACTGCTAGCACTGGAAAAGGCCACGCAGTCATGCTTTTGGAATGCTCCCCTGCTCCTAGGACATTACACAATTATTTCCCCTCCCCACAAACCCCCCTAACATAAATGTTTAAGAATGAGCTCAGCAGTAAGGAAAGGGAACTTTTTTCCCTCTTTCTGAAGAAAACACGGAGTGGCCGCTCCATGAGCAAGGCTGTACATGGGGACACTGCTGGAGGGGGGGTTGTGGGGAGGGATGTGGGATGGGGCAGCAGCCCCCAGGCTCTCATCCCAGGTCAGACACTGCCTGGGGGACAACTGCAAGTTGGGATGCACAACTCAAGGCCACCCTCAAGGAATGACAACCTGCAGTAACTGAGGCACAGCTGACCCATCCCTCACCACACCCATGGACCCCCAGCCCACCCTGTCCTGCTGCACCCCACCCAGCAGCCCTGCTGGCCACCCACCCTGTGCCCCATTGCCCCACCCCTGCACTGACCCCACAGCCCAGTAACCCCACCTTTGAGCCCACACCTTACCAGAGTCAGTGACCCCACATCCCACTGGTAACCCCAGATCTCAATCCCTCCAAACCCTACGAGTAAACCCCGATCCCAGTTCCCCCAAGTCCCACCAGTATCCACAAAGCCCAGTTTCTCCAGACTCCACCAGTAACTTAGACCCCATCACAACCAGTAATCCAGCCCCGCAGCTCTGGCCCCACTCCCTCCCAGCGCCCCCTCCCCAGCAGTGTCCCCCCTCCCCAGCTGCCCCCGAGCCCCGGCAGTGCCCCCGCCGCGCTCGGTTCCCAGACCCGCACCTCCGTCCGCCGCTGCCCGTCCCGCTCCGCTCCGCTCCGTCCCGGCCCCGCCGCGCGGCTCCGGGCACCGCCCCGGCCGAGGGCGGAGCGGCCGTGCGGGGCTGAGCCGAGCCGAGCGGGGCTGTGCCGAGCCGTGCGGGGCTGTGCCGAGCTGAGCCGAGCCGTTTCCAGCGCTGCGCCCGCCCCGCTCCGGGACACCCCGAGCCCCCCGCGTTTCCCCGCGGGGCCCGTGGGCGTTTTCCCGGTTCAGGTTCCCGAGGCCGAGTGGGGAGGGGGCGAGCCCAGCTGCCGGGAGGGGCTGAGCTGCTGCCCCGTGCCAGGTGAGGGCAGCAGCCGAGGCCACTTCCCGCTGTGACACACAGACACAGAGGTGCTGAGCGCCGTGCCTGTCCCCAGGGTCCCCTCCACGGGCCGCTGGCACAGCGGGGCTGTGCCCTGCCGTACCTCGCTGCATCGCGGTGACCCCAGTGCCACTGGTGGGCTCCCCGTGCCCACCGCTGGCTCTCCCCCCAGGACATCCAGCTGCAGGGCAGAGTTCCCGTCCTTCAGCCAGGGAAAGGCAGCCCCAGGAGCCTGGCCCAGACCCAGGCTCATAAACCGCTGCTATTTTAAGGACTTGCAGACTATTTTTCTTTATTTATCAAGCCCCAGGCCAGGAGTTGGTTCCAAAGGAAATGTTTCCTTAGTAAAAAAGGGAACCACAGAGGAAGCTTTAAATGCAGCAGCCACTGCCTCGTTGTCTTATCCAACAGCCGGGCAGTGACCTGGAAAAGCAGAGCCAGTTCTCAGCCACCAGCGTGAAAAGGAATGTGCCAGGGGAGCGGGGCTGTGCAAACAAGTGTGAAGAGAGCATCAGGAGTATTAGGGGTGCCAGGTGGCCGTCAGAGGGATGTGGGGATGTTTCCAGCAGGCAGCCCACCCTCGAGGCAGAAGCAGCTGCTGCTTGAGTGGCTGAACTCCCGGAGAGGGACAGTCACATTCCTCAGAGGCACAGCCTGCCCCACTCCCTCCCCCGCAGACAGGAAAACCACGAGCCTTTCCTCCCTTCCATCCCGGGTGTGATGCCCTGCTTCCACCATGCTGGCCATTGCTGCTGCCTCCCAGCCACACCCAGGGGTCCAAACCCCTGGCAGCACACCAGCAGCTCCACTGCCCACGGGCGCTGCAGGGGTGCTGCGTGGGCTCTGACCAGTGCCAAGGGCACATGGACAGCAGCACACATGGCTCTGCGCAGCCCTGTTTGCCTGCCTACTTCAATTAATCAGAGCTAATTGGCTTTTTGGTAAGTCTTCTTTGCAGGAGCTCTGCAAAGAAAGACTTTGAAGTAGGGCTGTGAGTGGCAAAATCTTTATTTAAACACACAGTGCTACACAAGGACAGGCTCCCGGCCCCAGCACCACTCCCTTCAGCAGGGATGCCAACAGGTTCAAATATCCTCCATAACTTTCACTTTCCATTGTGTGCACCCAGTTTATTTACATCTCACTGGTTACAGGACACAAACAACATTCACTAGAGGTGACACTTGACAAAAGCTGGCTGCAGCCAGTGATAGGACACAAACTACTGGTGCCACAGAGCCCTTCCCAGACAAGGAACCATGGCCCAGCTCTCCTCATCCCCACACTGCCAGGATGGGGCAATCCCTCACAGTTTAGGACTCTGCAGAGGTCTGGGAAATGGATGCTCCAGGTTAGAGATGTGTGTGATACAAAAATCCAGTGCAGAGATCAACTGCTCAGCTCCCCTCTGCACCAGTTCTGAGATCACTGAGGAAAACACAGGAGCTGTCTTTCCCTGCCTTGGTCACACCAAGCTGCTTTTACTGTGGGCTCCCAACCCTGGGCTAAGCTGATCCAGTGCAGTTAAGCTGTTAAGCTCACCTGAATAGGGCTGCTCTGTGTGAGGCTGCTAACTCAGAACCACTCCAAAATATAGACATACATTCGTAGACTCTCCACACCAAGAAAGGATTTAGATATTTTCCAGCTCAGCTCTCCAGTTAACAAAGAACTGGCTCCAGAAGCACTGCAGCGATCCAAGACATGAGAAGATGGGGGTAGAACCTGTGGCACAACCAGTGCTGGTGCAATTGCTTATCCCTCCTCAGGGGTCTGGTGCATGGCAGAGCTTGGTCACTGCTCCAATCTCCAAGACTGGAGACTGAGCCAAAGTCCATGGCAGAATGAAGGTGTGAGGGGCTGAAAATTTGGAGCACAAGGCTGGGATGGCCATTGTGGGGCCACAACTGGACTTGTGCCAGCCGCATTGCCCAGCTGCCTGTGACTTTACTCCCAGTCACATCCCATCTGAGCCTCAGCTCCCACCTCCAGCAGCAGCTTCAGTCTCACTGGCCAGAGCATCACAGGGCAGGAGATGGGTGGTGACTGCAGCAGGTATGAGCGCACAGCAGCCCTGTGGCTGTCACACAGGGCTGCAGTCAGCATAGGCATGGCAAGAAGCAAAGGACATGAAGAGCCAAGGAGCCTTCAGGCATTTCACAGCATTGAGAAAGTAGCAGCATAAAACCATCCCTCAGCCGCAGTGCTCACATTCTGTCCAAGGCCTCTCCATCTCCACCTGGGACTGGGATACAAGCAGGCGGAGGGGGATGCTCTGGACAGGAGCACAGACTGAGGCTCCAGGTTTCTTACTCTCCTTACAGTTGTCCCAAAAAACAAGTGCTTAGAGGAGCTGTGGCCCTGAGGCAGCCTCAGTGTCCCACTCCAGTGTCTCCATCCAGGCAAGGAGAGCCCCACTGCCCCAGGCTCATTCAGCATCATGTGTAGTTGCCGGGGCCGCCCAGGGGGATCACAAAAACAGAGATGTCGTCACCAGAGCCCAGCTTGTCATTGGCAAGCCGCCAGCCACGCTCCTTCAGCACCCCCCGAGACCGCACCACCAGCTCCTGGGCCACCATGGTGTACCTGGAGGCACAGCAGAGCACGGCTCAGCAGTGACTCCGCACCCCCTGAGGCAGCATCCTGGCAAGCAGGAAGAAGCTAGAGCAGCTAGAGCTGCAGGAAAGGGTCCCTTGGAGAGATCCAGGCACAGATGTGCACATCCAGGGGAGCAATGCACTCTGTGGAGCCCAGAGGGCTGCATGGCCACAACCCTGCTCTGAGGAGCCAGGCCAAGGGGAGGTGGTGGGGCACACGACACGCCTGTCCCCCTGCCCACCTGCAGCTCACCTGCATGGGTCATTGGGCTCATAGCTCGTCAGCACCTCCATCACCACAGCAGCCACCTCCTCGTCATTGGTGACATCCCAGAGCCCGTCAGTGCCCAGCACCAGAACATCGTCAGGGCAGTGCTCATACTGCGTGAGGTCATAAACCCTCACCTGGGAGGCAACAGGGCAAGAGGCAAAGGTGAGAGGCAGAGGAGGCTCCTGCTGCCCTGGGCATATCATGGATCTGGTCCTGCCGAGTGGCTCTGACCACTGCAGGGACCCCTGGTTGTGAAGCGGCTGGCAGCCAGCCTTACCTCTGGGAAGCAGGACAGAAAAGGCTTGATGTGGATGTTGGAGCTGAACACCTTGAGGTCGTGGTCTCCCAGGCCTCTTGTGACCCCAATTGTGGCCATCATCCGAGCCTGGAGAATGGTGGAATCAAAAGAGGACTTTAAGCAGCTTTATCTCCAGTTCTATTCCCAGCTGAGAACTGGTGATGACAGCACTACCAAAAATGGGCTGAAATCCCCCAAAACAGTGAGAGCAGGCAGGAAACAACCCCTGCCAAGCTTCTGCCACAGCACTTTACCTTTTTGCCTTCCCCAAAGATAAGTGGAAACTTCAGGTCATCCTCTTCTATCTTTTTGTAAGCCCTGGTTAAAATAAGCCAGAGACAAGGTGTCAGCAGGTGAAGCTTCCAGCACCTCTGCTGACCACTTAGGGCCGGGGTACCCAGTGTGCCAGAGCCCCCTGCCCCGTGGCATGGGATGCCAGAGATGAGCAGCCACCCCAGAAGGACCCCAGCGCTGCCAGCAGGTTTTGGGTTACCAGCCATTCATGTTCTGGTCCCTGTAGAGCATCTTCTTGCCCAGCTCCTTGGGCTGGATCCTGCGGGGGAATTCCAGGTGGGTGAACTCCTTCCCCAGCAGCTCGGGCCTCAGCAATGCCTGCAGGAAGGAGTGTTGGCTCAGCCACAGGGCTGGGAGAGCAGGATCTGTGGAGCCAGCCCTGCCCAGATCAGGATCCACCGTCCACCGGGACTTCGGCGTCAGCATTCCGTGGTGGGATAACCTCAGCTGCTCTGGAGCCACTTGAATAGGTGCTGGTAAAGCAGCTTCAAACCAGCCACCTGTGCTAAGCCAGAGGGGAAACTGGAGCTGAGGACAGCCATGCCAGCACTCAGCAAGAAGGTGAAGCTTTTGCATAGAGAATTTTGGGAAATAAAGATCTCCAAAGGGATCAATCAAACCCCAAAAAATCCAAGAGAAGCTGGAATTTACTCAGGAGTCATAGCTGCAAACCTCCCAGGATCCCAGGCTCAGTGTAGGGCATGGCACTCACCCAAGGAAAAGAGTGATGGGTCTTTTCTGAAGCTGTGTCCCAGCTGTGACCATGACAAGGGACAAGCAGCAGCACAGAGCCCTACCCAGGGCAGCCCCAAGCCCTCATGGAAGACAGTGTGGAGGGGACTGGGAACAGGGAGTGTTGGAAAATGCTGTCAGGGAAAGAAAAGCAGGAAGAGAAGAGGAGATCCCTTGGGAAGATGGGATGGCAGGGGGTTGGGCAGAGGCATAGAGACCCCCAGTCCACTCTGGGGGAGCCCTGACCTCAGCCTCAGCATCATGTGGCAGAGCAGCATGTGCCTGTGCCCTGCCCCTTGCAGCCAGCTGAGGAGGATTCTGATCACAGCAGTTTCCTCCTCTGGGTCATTCAAAAATAGATTCAAGAAAAAACACCTCAGTGTTTTTCCAAGTACATTGCAAGCCAGGAAATTTCATACAGCAAGACCTTCTCCAACACAAACTCCTCCTTGCCTGTGCTGCCCTCAGAGAGGTCTTTATAACCTTAAAGAGTCTCTCTGGGTGGCACCAGGGGGTTCATCGTGGAGAGGGACAGGGAGCTGCCAGGGCGAAAGACAGAAACATTGGCACTCATCAGCTGCGACTCTCCGGGGAGCAGCCAGGGAAGAAAGTAGGGTTGGCAGGAGCACTGCAGCTCCTCTGACACTGAAAGGGAGCACAGTGGATGGAGGGAGCCAAGCTGCACTCCCCCAGCTCACAGCAGCCCAGGACAAGATGGACCTAAGTGGCTCCATGCAAACGTACCAACCCAGCCCATGCCAAAAGCCTGGGCTCTCCATGTCACAGCTCTGCCAGGCTCACCATCACAGACCCTCACACTGAGCCGCAGCAAACCGGGCCTCTGCCAGCCACAAGACACCCCCGTGCCAGCTCCCTGCATCCCAGTGCCTCTTCCCATCCCAGGAAGCAGTCTGGGATGTACAAGTGCCAACAGCAGGTCCCAGCCGTGGGGCTGCCCTCGGGTCCAGAACCCCACCATGGCAGCAGTCCAGCAGGCAGCACAGGGGACTGGGAAGAGGCCAGGAGGTGTTTCAGCAGGAATGAGGTTAGAAGAAAGGTCTTTCTTACTAAAAACTGCAGTCTCTGCCTCTCTGTCTCTGGAGTAAACTCCCTGGACATTGGAATGATTTCCCCATTACGGATGATAATGGCCCTGCAATGAAACATGGAAGGATGAGATTAGAGAGAAGGAGACTTGGCAGAGGAGCTGAGCCTGGCTCTCCAGGGCTGATTCCCAGGAGTGGTGCATCCCCTTCCCTCTGCTGCCCACCCTTTTCCCAGCCTGAGGTGGGGGCTGCTTCCTGGATTCACTGCTCCCCCTGCGCAGGGCATGGCATCTCTCCCTCCTGTGCAGGAGAGGGGCAGGAAGGAAGGGGAAATGGGAGAGAAGCATGGGGCAGAGGGGAATGAAGCAGACCAAATCAAAGGACAGAATATGGTTAGAAAAAGAGTAGCAAAAAGGCTCCCTTTAGGGGGGACCTGCACACAGCAGGGGCAGAAACTGCCTGCAGCAGAATTACATGTGCCCATCCCACACCAGCACTGTGACTTGCTACTCGGTCTGCTCTTACAGTTTAATGTCTCAAGAAAACAGAAAGGTCTGATTATGAGATGTTTCTGGATGTCATGGTAGGCCCAAGGATCTCCAGCACTGGCAGCTGTGAGTCTCCTCCAACGATGTAAGGCCAGGCTGTTACTCAGAGGCACAGTTCCAGCCTCAGGACTCTGTGGACTCTGTGCATGCTGACATCCTGCCTGGCTGCTGCTGCCATGGAGGGGGACCTGCACCCAAAACAAGGGCTCTCCTTCTCTGTCCCAGAGCTGGGAGCACATCCAGCCTCAGACAACTGACCAGAGCCGATATTTGCTGGTCTGACATTGCTGAGGACAAGGTAACCTGCAGTAAATACCCAGAGCAACTGTAGCTGCCCCATTCTTGGAAATGTTCAAGGCTGGGTCAGGCAGGGCTTGGGACAACCTGGGCTAGTGGAAGGTGTCTGCAAATGACAGAGGGTGGAACAAGATGAACTTTAATGTCCTTTCCTACCCAAACCATTCTTTGATCCTATGATAAATACAGGGCAGTTCAAAGCAGCTTCACCTGCAGGGTCACCTTTAATGGAAGGTGGACCTGCCCTTCTGCCATTGCTTGGGGGTGTGGGCACAGGTACAGTAATGTAACACAGGGGTAGTTACATTAGCCCACCCCTGGAAATATCTACAGCAATTACAGTTCTTGAGCTCCAAGCTCCCACTGCACGTAGATTCATGTCCTTCTCCTGAAACAGGTCTCTGGTGTGAAGTGTACTCTAAAATTACTTTTTGCACATTTTTGAAAGCTTTGCTGAGTGCAACTTTCACTCTCCAGCCTGCAGCCCAGGCCCATGCCAGCAGCAGGGGCCAGGGTATCCAGAGCCATCTGGGTAGCAGAGAGGATGTTGTTAGGAAAGAAGGGAGCACATCCCAGATTTTGGGATGCAGTTCTACAGCCCTGTCTGCATACCTGGCAAACACAGAGATCACAGCAGAGTACATTGTCCCCAAGGCATGGAGCAGGCAGGGGGTGACTCTGCCCAGCTCTGCCACCTTCACCCTCCCCTAGACAGGGCTGGAGCTGGGCGTTCCTCACCAGCCATACCTCTGGCACCACCACTCGACTGGGGTGTCCCCAGTCACTGAGCAAAAGCTGAGGGCTGCCCTGTGGGGCTGTACCTGCTGTCACCAGCGTTGGCCACGTAGAACTTGCCCATGAGGTAGATGGCAGCCAGGGCGCAGCACCCCCCGGCCAGGTGCTGGGATGCTCGCTCCCGCTCGATCTGGTCGTCCTGGGGAGACAGAGAGGCTGCAGGGTAGGTGGGCCACCCCAAATAGCACCTGGCTGCTCCAGCAGCACCTCAGCTCCAGGTGGGAAGAGGAGACCAGCCAGGGTACCTTTCCCCACACAGCCACAGAGTAGCTGTAGGGCTTGAGGGGCCAGGGGTCCTGTGGGGCAGCCAGGGATGTGGCTTCAGTGGGGCAGGAAAGAGCAAGACAGGGGGGGAGCAGGTGGGCCTCCTGGAACAGCACGCAGGCCTGGAGCCCAAAGCTCTGCGTTCTGAAAGCTCAAAATGCAGAGCATCACAGAGCCCTCTCTGAGATCATCATGCTTGGACCCCTCCCTGTGGTCCCCTCCCTGCTCAGAGCTGCCTTTTATGAGTGGGGTCAAGCTGATAGGGACACAGACAGCAAAGAGCTGCTCTCAGGGGATGCCCTAGATGATCTCACAGGCAGAGAATCCTCACCATGTGCTTAAAGGCATTCTCAATGGCACCAATCACCAGGCTCTCGTGGGACACAGCTTTCTCCAGGTGAAACCGTGGCACAGCATCGTTCAGGACCTCCCCGCGGTCCTCTGCGTAGGACATCTGGTTTGGATCTGCAGAACCAGTCTGTGCCTCGCGTGGGAGGCAGACAGGAGGCGGGGAGGGGTCCTGCAATATCTCCACGAGGTCCCGGAGCTGCTCACAGATGTGCAGGTGGAGCCTCTCAGATGCCATGACAGCAGCCCCGCTGCCTGCATGGCCATCAAACAAGGCCCAGTAGTGGAAATAAAAACCTTTCCTGCCCTGCAGGGAGAAGAGGGAAGGTTAAATGAGCCTGCAAGGAAGCAGATGGCATGGGGAATTCAGAGCAGCTGGGCTACCAGCTGAGGACAGCGACACGAGTCTCACAGGTCTCAGTGCAGGCAGCAGCAATGTGGGCAGCTGACCAAAGGTGTCTGGACATAGCTGATCCCTGGCTGGAGCCCAGCCCTGTGTCAGACACCTCGTGCCTCCAGCAGCCTCCGAAGGGGAGGCACAGCAGCCTCCTCTGCAGCCCAGCAGGGCACGTGGGCCATTGGTGTCCCTGGGCCAGCCCTGGTGTAGCCACATGGAGATGTAGGATGGCAGGAGCAGGAGAGAGAAGCACCATGAACCGAGGGAATCCCCAGTGTGCACACATTGCCATGTGTCCCATCTCATGCCCTGCTGCTGGCCATCTTCCCTGTCATGTCCCTACTTGTGGACCACCACGGCTCTCACCCCATCCAGCTCCTCGCTGCCTTCCCTGGATGACAGCCAACCCCTTGGGCTGGGCCTCTGCTCCACAAACACCACCTCACAGCATGCCTGGTCCTCATTGTGCTGGCTCTTCCCTGCATTTATCACCCTGCCAGGAGGAGAAAAGGTGTCAAGGCCCTTTCTTTCACATCATGCTCCAGCAAATGCCATCCCACCGCATCTCTCCCCTTCCACCCCCACCCCTCCACTCATACCCCCGTGTACCCAGAGATGCCAGGGATGGTCTGCACAGGTGCTCCTATCCTGTCCCAGGTGTCCCAGACCAGTTTTGTGGGTTGATCTGGGGCCAGGAACAGCATTGAGTCCCACCCACAGCTGGGTCCAGAGGGGAACAGCTGTCCACACACCTACCAGGAGAGGTGACCAGAAATAAACTGAGTTTGCTGAAGGTCCCTAGCACTGCTCCAGGCAGAATAATCGCCTCAAAACCTGTATCAGCCTCAGATATCCACCTCTGGGACACACAGAGAGAACCACATCTCACCCATGTCCCATCACCTCTTCGGGGGAGCAGAGGGCTCAGGGAAGGAGGGGAGAAGGTGATGATGATGAAACCGGCAGAACTTTTGCAAAAAGATTCACACTGACTTTTCCCAGCCTGTGCTGACAACGGCAGATTTCAGGTCTAGATTGCAGAACCTGCTCACAGGACGAAGCTGTAAACACAGCAGGGTGATTTTTCTTTGGGCAGACTTCCGAAGTTGTTTGCAGAAAGAACTCTTGGGATACCAAAAAGGGGATTTTTTTTTTTTTTTCATTCTGGGTACTCCTACCCCACTATCTCCAAGGGGAAATCAACATCTCATAAAGCTCTCTAGGATATCGGGAAGATCAGCCTGTGGAAAGGATGCGGGAGTGGGCTGACAGCAAATAGCAGCAAAAGCCTTCAAAGACTGACCTTCCCACCCGCTTTCAGCTAGGGCTGAAACTCGCAGCTAGTGAAAGAAGACGACAATCAGGTCCTTGAAGGAGAAGTCTCAAGTAGTCTCACTCCCAAGAAATCCCCAGCTCCCTGCTCCCCAAGCGTCCTGCTAAAGGCGCCGCAGCTCCCTCGCCCTCGGTACCCCTCGGTGACAGCGGGGGTTGTGCAGAAAGCGCAGAACAAAGCGGACAGAAGAGCCTAAAGCCCGCGGGGTCGGTAAGAGCACAGCCCCTCGCTGGTGCTCTCCCATCAGGGGCACCCACAGCGCCCGCTCCTCGCTGCTGCTGCTGCTGGAAAAGGGACAGACGCAGCTCACCGCCCGCCGCGACCCACTTTCGTGCCCAAGGCTGCAGTGCCGAGCGGTGCCTCCTGCCCTCCCCAGGCTGCAAACCGCGCCCCGCTCACTCTGCGTATCCCGAGCTCCAGGGCAGGCGGCGGCGGCCGTCGCGGGGGCTCTGCACCGCCCGCCCCGCGTGGTCGTCGGCGCGGCGCAGCTCCTCGGGAGTCAGCTGCAGGAACGCCGGCCGGCAGAACGCGGCTGGCGGCGGCGACCCCCGACCGGCCCCGGCCCCGGCCCCGGCCCCGGCGCCCCGGGCTTCTGCGGGGGGCTGCGCGCCCAGCCCCGCCGCCAGCTGCGCCACGGCAGCGCGCACCCGCAGCAGCATCCCGAGCCCGGCCGAGCGGAGCCGAGCCGAGCGGGGCCGAGCCGAGCCGAGCCGAGCCGAGCCGAGCCGAGCCGAACCGAGCCCAGCCCGCCGCCCCGCCCCGCTCCGCCCGCCGCGGCACGGGGGGGGAATTCCCGCAGGCGCGGCAGTTCAGCACCGCAGCGCGTACGCGGATCTCCCGCAGCCGGCCGAGAACGACCCCTCCCGGTAATGACCCCCCCCGCCGTTATCCCGCAGGCGGGTGCAGGTGGAGGTCGAGATCTCCCGACGAGGGACGTGCTCTGCCAGCCGGGAGCCCCGGGACACGAACCATTCCAGCGCAGAAAATGCCCTGGGAAAGTCTTTTCCCGGCTGGAGGTGGGGCTGCGGGGGAACAGGCTGGCCCTGTCCACGCGTTTTGCCGACAGGTAAGTTTGCTAACTGGATCGTCCCAAGATTCCGCCAGCTGCTCCGGGACAAAATCCCCGTCCAGCGCCGGGCGCTTTGTCGCCCGTGTCGCGCTCATCAGCCCACGCGCGGCCATTCCGGGCTATTAATAACCCGCAGCCTGCGGAGGAGCAGGGACGGACGTACCGTGAGAGGGCTGAAAGCCGAACCTCTCCCTCCCTTTCACCCAGGATGCTTCGCTCCAGCGTGAGCAGGATGCAGAACAACACATCCTCCCTGGCTGGGAGGGGAAGAGTCGCCAGCGGAAACACCATCACTTGCACAGCGTGACCTTAGCACCTCCCTGCCTCTGGGCTCCTGTGACAGAAAAAAAAAAAAAAAAAAAAAAAAAAAAAAAAAAAAAAAAACCAAAAAAAAAACAACAAAAAAAAAAAAAAAAAAACATAATACTTGCCTACTGTAAAGCAAAATTGAGTCTGTTTCTTAAAATTCGTGTGCCCCAGTGCCTCAGTTTCACAGAGGAACCACCGATTCCTGTGAACACAGTGTTTTTGCATTGTAACTGACAAGCAGAAGCAGAACTGAGAGCCCTCCAGGCTTTAGCCAACTTCAGCCAGAGATCTTCAAACTGTACCGGATTATTAGGATCACAGTACAGAAGTGACTCAGTGGTACCTGTATTCCCACCTTCTAATCCCAAGATTTAAGGTCTTCGGGACACTTCAAAGCTCTTTCAGTACCCTTCAGGACCTGGTCTAGTGGGCAGCATCCCTGCCCATGGTAGAACTAGGTTATCTTTAAGGTTCCTTCTGGGGGGGTTGGAAATATTGATCTTTAAAGTCCCTTCCAAACCAGCCCTTCCAGCCTGAGGCCGGCATCCCTCTAGTTCTTCTCCGTGGGTCATTCGTGGACATTCCTGGGTCCTCTCCTCAGCTCCTGATTCCTTCCCCTCACAGTATCCTTGTCCAGATGCTGGTCACGCATGGGGTGCTCTTAGATATTCTGAGTGCAATATCATCATGCTATTAAGGCTGAAAATCACTGGATTCTCCAACGAATGTGTCTCCCCGCTGTAAGACTGCCAATCTGCCCTGTACTGCTGAGTCACCAGCATGCTTTCCTTGGAAAGAAGGAATTGACAGTTTCCAGACTCACTTCTGTGACCCTCTTGATATTTGTTGTTTCTGTTATGTTGAGCACAGCATGGAAAGAATAGTCTGACAAATAAACATGTTCCTGCAGGAATGCTCCCTGAAACAATGCAGTGTTAAAGACTGTTTTCCAAGAAAGAGGGCTCCATTTCCCCCTATTCATCCTGCCAGACAGATCCATGTAAAGTTTTCTCCTTATCTTCGAGGCTGAAGTTCCTCTTCACAAGGTTGACTGGCACAGGGCCTGGGGATGCAGATGTTGTAGACTGAGTCAGACTAATGCCAATAAACAGCCACTTTGGATGCCAGCAGCTCTGCCCTTCGCTCTTCCCATCCCTCTGGGAGTCCTGCCTGGGACGCTCATGCTTTCCCTGTCTCCCCATCTCACCCAAAGTCACCCCTGAGCATGGGGGTGTCAGGTACTTACCTTCCCTGGGCACAGATTCAGGTGAATCCAGCATGCTGCCATGATAAACAGTGATTTAAAAATCAGTAACACAGGAACTAGTCTTAAATTATGCTATTTTAGTTAATTTTTCATGCAAGTGCTTAGCATTGAAAAAGCCTTTCTAAGTTTCATCTTTCATCTATGTTACTGAGCCCCAGAGGAGGTAGGATGGAGCCAGGGATATTTCTTTGTGAAAGAATGACATGTTGGTTGCATTTAAGCCAGAACAGAAGTAAATTAAACATCTAGACCATAAAAATACCAGAGGATGTTTTAAAACAGGTTCTTTGCAGCTGATGGTAGAGCCTGACTGTGTAATGAGTAATATATTAATTTATAATTAGCATGGTACAGTGAAGCTCAGCAAATAGCTCTGTGCACTCTGGATAATTCATCAACAGAAGGAGTGGTTCTTAATGGTTTCCAAGGTTTGTATGTCCCTTGTAATTGGGAAGTTCAGCATTTATTGTTATTTCTTCTAAGGGATAATTTGATTGCAACCACACATCTTTATTCCCTGTCTGTTTCTGCTGGAGTGCAGAGAAGGCTTTGGAGCACTGCTCCTCTGGGTATGTCTGTGACCTCTCTGCAGGTGAGTACATCAGTGTTTTGCAGAGCAGATGACCTGGATTTGGTGCAGATTCTCAGAGGGTTTTACCCTTTTCCTCCTGCAAAGGAGAGGGGGGAAGGGGGCACATTAACCTCCTTGGGTCACTTAGCTTTTCCCCTCCGCGGCTTCAAAGTCTTCCATACAATTTTCATATCTCCCAAGGGGTCTTCATTCACAATTCTGCTCTCAAAATCGTCATGAGCTTCCTGGTCCCATTTAATATTACCTGACAGTAGAAATACAGAAGAAGAATAAATGCTTAACAGTAACACTTACTGGAATTTATGGAGCCTTTGGGGGACTTTTCAATTTGGAAGCTCAGACCCACTTTCCAGAGGATCCAGGGAGCAGGACTTCCCCCTGCTTTTGCAGCAGTGCCCAGGCTTCCCAGAGATCCTCTCCCTGGACTGCTGTTTTGACAGGCTGGGAATCTACTGAAATGCCCTGTTGTCAGCAAAACTTTTGGAAAAGGGAACAAAATCCTTGGAGGTAGGTACTTGGTGCTGAGGCAGCCTGGAGGCACTGGGGCCTCATCAGATGAGGGGAATAAATAAACTTGAATCTTAATTCAGTGATCCACTGAAAATAGGGTGTGATATATCTTCCCCAGGAATAAAATGTCAGGAGTTCTGCTTTTTGCAGCTTTAATAAAATAATTTGTACCCTTCTGCCTATTAGCAGCTGCAGATAAGTTTACTGCACTGAGCATTTGAAGCCTGCTGACATGTCCATCTGCCTTTGCATAACCATTTGCCCCTAACCCTTTTTGTACCTCAAACCCCAATCCATGAGTTTTCTCTCCAAAAAAGAAAAAAAGCTGGTTGCTGACCTGGAAGGTACAGAAGGATTCCAGGTGTGTGTGTGACAGATTTATTACACGGGAGCAGGATTTATCACTAAGGATACATCAGGAAATGTTTCGAGGGTTTTCTTGGGCAGTTCCTTTGCTTTCCAGACTTGGCTTGTTGTGGAAACTGGAAACTTGGGTCCCTTCATGCAGTAAAGTCTGGGCTGCTTGAGGAGTCACAGCCAGGGAAGAGAGCAAGGCTGAAGGCTGCTGCTGAACACTTAATAAGAAGTCAGGATGATGATGAGAAGGAATTTCTGTGTTACTTCCAGCTGAATTTAAATTAAACCAGTTTTACTGAAGTCTTAATTCCTCCCTTGCATTTAACACTGTGATCTGGAAAGCAACAAGTTTATATTTCTGCATCATTACATCAATAAAGAGCTAGAGTTTTGTAGGCTTCCTTATTAAATAATCTGGCCTAATTTAATTGGAATTTGGCTGGTATGGAAAATAGCTCTGATTTAATTTTCTCTTGATCGTTCCACTAAAACTTTGTGATCTGAAAGTAGTATGTTTGTATTTACTTATCACAGCACTAGAGACCTGTATTGGCAGGCTCTCGATCAAATTACCTGATGAATATAAACAGCAGATTTAATTTAGTTTCAGATTGATTTTTGTCATTATTATTAAAACCCTCTGATCTGAAGAATGGGATGCTTGTATTTCCTTAATATCTTATTACTGGGGTTTGGGTTAATCTTGTAGAGCTTTTCCTTTTTCTTTTGATTAACCAAGTCTAACTAATTGGAATTTAACATATGGCAATTTTGACTCTATAAAGGAGGGAAAGGAACTCAATTTCCTGGGACAAAATAGCAAAGTAACCTAATCTTGTCAGGGCTGAGGTACTCTCCCTGGACACCTGTGTGAATTTTTGGGGATGTGGTTCCCCCAGGAGCAGGTGGGTCACCGCAGGGCATCTGCCTTGCCCTCTGTCTGGGCCCTGAGGAAGCTGCCAGTGGTCCCAACGTGGCACTTGGCAGGGACTCGCAGCAGTGCCCTTCCCAAGGGCTGGATTCTGGGCAAGGGAGAGAGCATGCATAAAGGCTTTGGGATCCCATGGAAAGCAAATGGCTGGGAGATTTGCAGACTGTCCACATGTGAGTTGTCTGAAGAGCTACTGTTCACCTGTAACTCAGCTTGGTCTTGGACATATTTCCATGCTTCCAACTGAGCTGTGGGTTGGAAGGTCCAGGAGTAAGCCGTGAGCTGTGTTCAGAAACCAAAGGCTTTCATCGATGTGCAAATAGGTTTGAGCAAAGAAAAATGAGTACATGGAACTTCAGCCTCTCATCTCACCTGTGCTGAGGTTGCAGGTCTAATTCCTGGCAACAGTTGTGAAAATTCAACCTTTGTTCTTGCTGTTTGTTGGTGTTTTAAAGTCTGTTGCTGCCTGTTGTGAGAAGAGCCACGAAAGCTCTGCCCTGGGGGCACCAGGAGAGGTTTTCTGGACAAGCCCGGAGCTGCCTGGGGCTTAGGAACTGGCCCAGGTTGGTGTTGTGGTCCCAGGTGTTGGAGTCCCCTGTGTCAGGGAGATGCTCCGGCAGAGCCCCATCCAGACTGGTGACGCTATTTCAGTTCCA